CCAAAAAAAAAAAAAAAAAAAAAACAGGATACACGTTTTCTTTCTGTTAGGAAATAAATATATATACTTTGGGAAATGGAAAAGAAACAAAAAACAGAGTGCATAAGAGTGCATATTCTAAACACAGTCACTTCTATGGCAGCTATTTCACAAAAGACTGTGGACACCTATCTACTGAAAGACTAAATTGTTCAGTGTCCTTATCTCGCAAAAATACTTTAAATTGGGGGGGAATTGTAGTAAATATTTTTGTTTTGTTCAGATTATTTAGCTTCCTGCAGTACTACTCAGTGGGGGCAACTCTCTGTAACTTAATAATAAAGACTACATTTCTCAACATGTAATGTACCTTTTTTTTTTTTCCTAATTTGCAAAAGGGCACATGTACTTGCCAGGGAGAGAAACAGAGAAAGAGAGGGAAGGTGAGAAAGCACTCTAACAAGGGGGCAGGGGTAGTCATGCCACAATCCCTTCTCTACCATTTCTCCTTTCAGGATTTGGGACTGCACACACATATGCCTGGAGTTGTTTTATTTTAAGTTATTTTGTTTTACTTCATTCGTTCATTTTTTTTTTTATTTTATTTTAAATTGATCAGAGAGAGACACAGTAAGAGAGAGGAGGAAAGTGAGAAAGCCAGCTGCCAGGTTCAGGACTCAAACCACAGTTGGCCATGTGCGAGTCCAATGCCCCTAACCACCACGCCACCTGCCCACCCTGCCTGGATTGTGTTTTAAACCCTTGGGTCCAGAACTTGAACTGTGTAGTTGGCCATGCGGGATCCAACTACCTTAACCACTATGCCCTGACCTGGCCCTTAATGTGTCTATTACTTACTGAGCCCCCATTATTTATACAATACTATGTTGTATCCTATGGAGGCTGAAAAGGAGTTTAGGGACCAGAAGGTGGTGTAGCACAGTTGCTCTGTGAGTCTAAACCATATGGGGAAGTTGTAGGTTCACATATAGAGAACCTCCCTGAATATACTCTGTGTGTGTGCCTGTGATCTGAAGCTGGCTAAAGCTGAGGGTAGATTGTGGTGTGAGGACCCTGTTAGGGGTCAGTCTGTCACTCAGAAGAAATGTTTTTTTAAAAAAAAACTTAAAGTAGGATAAATGGAATGTGCTCTCAAAGATCTTACTTTTTCAAAAGGTAAGCTAGACCCAGACTCACAGTTAAATTTTTATAGGCATAAGAAATATTTTAGGGCAGTAGTCAGGTAAATGCCAAATGAGTAGCAGAGACAGAATCTTATTTTTTTTTTTTTTTTTTTTTTGAGAGGTTTTTTGCTATAGGGCGTGTATGCTCGCCAAAAAGACACACAGAGACAGAAAGCAAGAAATCATCTCGAGGGGAATGGCCACGTCCCAATCCCTTCTCCATTCTCCCCTTGGGAACTTGGGCACGCACGCACACATGCCTGGCATGAGTTTAAGCCACCGGGTCCAGGACTCGAACCACAGTCGACTACATGGGAGTCCAGCGACATAGCCATTGCAGTATCTGCTGATACCAGGAAACATTTTTTTTAAGAATTATTTATTTAATCCCATTTTTATTATTAAATTAAATTAAAATAAATTTCACCAGAGAAAGGGAAAGCGAGAAAGGAAGCCGCCAGGTCTGGGACTTGAACCATGGTCAGCCATGTGGAAATCCAGCACCTTTAACTGCCAGTCCTGGTAGGAAAACATTTTAAGAGATTGACTTTGTTTTCTTTTTTTTTTTTTTTTTTTTTTTCTCTTGGAGAGGTTTTTATTATAGGGCGCATGCCTTCACCAGAGAGACAGAAAGCAAGAAATCACCCCCCCGGGGGGGGTGGCACGCTGCAATTTCTTCTCCTCCATTTTCCTCTTGGGATCTTGGGCATGTACGCACATGCACTCTGTGTGAGCTTAAGCCCCCCCGGGTCCGGGACTCAAACTGCAGTTGACTACATGGGAGTCAGGCAACATAGCCATTACACCAACTGCTGGTCCCACGATTGACTTTTTAAACTATTTTTTCACAGTTCCAGGACCATCTGCCGCCCTAACAACAATGCAGCTCTTCTCCAAGCAAAACCCTTCAAGACAAGAGGTTACCAAACTTCAGCAACAGGTTAAAACAAATGGTGCTGGCGTGACTGTTCTCAGGCGTGAAATTTCTGAGCTTCGCACCAAAGTGCAAGAACAGCAGAAACAACTTCAAGACCAGGACCAGAAACTGCTAGAGCAGACCCAGATCATAGGTGAACAGAATGCACGGTTGGCAGAGCTGGAACGCAAACTCCGAGAAGTAATGGAAAGTGCAGTAGGAAACTCCTCAGGGTCTGGGCAGAATGAGGAGTCTCCTCGGAAACGGAAAAAGGCAGCAGAAGCCATAGACTCTCCTAGGAAATCTAAACGTCTTCGGAATAGGAAGTAAAGTGGAGTGTGGTTCTAGCTCCAGAGGAAGACATGGCTTAGTAGCTTAAGCAGTTAAGGGACACTGTGAGCAACATGGTGTCCCTTAGGCTTCTAGGCTTTCAAACATAACTTAAACTTGAACTCTTATGGTTGGGACATTTCTTTTCCCGCTTCTCCTGGTTGAACTGATGCACAGAATCTTTTTACTTTGCGATAGATTTGTACTAATCAGACCTGTTCTATCATGTTTTGAGGAGTTAACTTTTTTCTGTGCAGATAATGTTTAAAGTAAGTTTATTTGTTTCTGCATATATGCACATTACATAAAGATCTTAAACACAGTCTTGACAGACTAGAAGTTAAGTTTAATACAGAAAATGTCCTGTTAACTTGAAAGAAAAGACCTACTTTTTAAATGGACACTATCTTGTTTAAAAAAAAAATGTTGACTTTTTGTTATAAGTGACCTTTGTCTGGAATGTCTGAAAAGTAATGAATGCTTTTTGGTACTGAAGTAATGGGTAACTAAAACGGACTTCCATAGTATTGGCTGTAGAAGGAGCTTCTACAGTACTGACTATATATTTTTATAAACTACTGGCAAGGGACTTACCCAGTTGTTATATACATGTTTTCAGTTCTCTTTTGGGGCCATGTCCTACATTTGCATGGATGGATGCATGCATTGCCTAGTCAACTCACTTATGAAGCTCTTGCACTGGTATTGATCTTGAACCTCTATACTTCTCCACCTTTTAGAGCAGTGTCTTTAGTTTAAGTGCTCACTATCTTCCACCACAACAGCTTGCCTCTAGAGGGAGAATTGTTAGTCCATTTGTCCTCCAGTCTTATAGGAACAAGAGACTTACAGCCCAGTTGCTTTATCCTCCGTATGGTTCAGGAACACTGGCTAAGGCAGAACTCCAAATTCCAAGGCTTTTTCTATCCATATCAGACCTCCAGAAGCTAGTATTGTCCATTGCTCACCACTGTGTGTGCTCATTGATCAGATGTCATTGAGTAGGGGACCTGATTGTGGGATGCAGTTTTGCCACCAAAAGGAAGTTCGTTGAAGAAAATTGTACCATGAAAAAGCATTTTGATCATTCTATTTCTGGGGGATGACCTGAGGGAAGCTTTTTAATATTCATTTCAAGCTTTCCTTACCGTACAACTTTAAACAAAAGCTTTAATTTTGTTTGCACTCCTGTTTTGAGCTTGTAACTGGAAAAGCATGTCTTGCACTGTTCAACCTTCTGAGTGGTCACTTTAACAACCTCCAAATTGTGTACAGTGGTTATTTTCCCCAGTTGTATATTTTTGAAACATTCGACTATCACTGTCCTACTTTTGTTTTAATGTACTAAATTATGTAGTTACTTGACTGTTAAGTTTTTTTAAAAAAACTGTTGCCTTGGGCTTCAGTTATTTAAAGTAAATATAGGTGTAATATAGAAAACTGTCCCTTTTCAGGTGGGAGTCTGGCACCTGTATAAAACCTGAGGTTTTGGTAAGTACCTTAGTTGAATAAAAGCACAAGGTTATCACCTTTTTTATCCGTCCAACATAACATGGTTCAACATCCTTTAGATTAACCTCACCAAATGAAACTTTTCTTACCCATTTTTAGTGTTGTCCTTACATAATATTGTCCTTAGATTTTGATCAACTCTATGTCTAACTTTGAAGCTCCGTTTACAATGTAGTATGTTTTCAATGAAAAACCATAAAGTAAATTCAAGTGTTTCCTGGTTTGTTGGGAAGGTAACTTTAAAATAAACAGTTTCCAAAAAACATTTGTCAGCCAAGGTCATCCATAAAAGTCCCCGTCTGCAATTCATTTCTCAGCAGGTCTCGTTTTTATAATCATAGGATTTAGCCATATTATCATAACTTTGAAAGAGGCCTACCAGAGTATTCATGGCCTTTAATAGTCTGCTTTTATGGTAATAGGAAGGCTTTTTTAAGAATCAAAGTACATGTTTACAGGTTTACAAAGTATGATCCTTATGCATCAAAGGCATATAGCCTCAGATTATTTCTTTAATAGTTAATAAATTATGAAAAGTTGCTTGTATTTCTTTTTAAACTACATCTAGATAACCTAAATGTATCTAGAGTCTTCCATTGAGTAACATGAGCTAAATGGCTTTCATAGTAAGTGTTCACACTATAAGGTAGATTTTCTGTCCCAGAATCCAGATTTCTATAGCATACACTTTTAAGCACCTTTCCATAAGGGTAATGAGTTGTACTTTCTAATGCATGAAGGTTCCATAACAGTAGGAGAACAAAGCACTACAGTTTACTTGTTCAAGTCTTAAATCTTTCTTAGACTATCCAACCAAAACATGTTAAGATAATTACCTTCACCATTTATCGGGATAAATATTTGTTAGCTATCATACTTGCTTTTAGATGGCGTAATGGTATTGAAGGTTCAACAAATCAATTATTTTGATCAACTACAACTAACACATGTTACAGGAAAATTATAAATCAGCCTCGTGAGAGAGACCCATCCTTCCCTCCGCTTCTCAACAGTAATTTAGGTGCTGTGTGTTGTTTATACCTTGTTGTTGGAGTGCAGCATTTCATAATGAATTCCTGTCATTTTTCTTGGCTGTTTTTCAGAGGAGACATCTCTGTTTTGATGGGTCACACCTACATATAGATTTATTATGGTACAACACTACGCACAGGAATAAAAATGTGAACAGAGGTGTGTTAAGAAATAGAGAAGACTGGCTCCACTCCTCACCCCTTACCAGGTCCTCTGCTCACTTCCCAACATGGATTGGCTTACTTGGTTGCCAAGCATTCTGCGGTTATAGAACCTGTTATTTTACAAAACTCTTTTTTTTTTTTTTTATACACAGAGCCTGGAAATAATGGGGCAAACACAAATGTATTCAGAGTGATCCTACTGTTTAAAGACTATTGGGGTGCCATCAGGTCTAAAGCCACTGGTTTTGGAAGCAACATTTTTCTTTTCTTTCTTTCTTTTTTTTTTGTAAAACATGTTTTTTGGATTACTGAACTTTATAGGGGCTTGCCTTAATCGCTATATAGTAGTTTCAAGATGTATGTGCTATTATTCTACGTGTTAAAGATGTTAAAATATTCTATGTAGCCCCAAAGGTGGGTAAAACAAAGTATAAGAAATGCCTAAATAAATAAGCTAAAAGGTGTCACTGCAGCTGGATTTTTGAGAGAGAGTGGACATACAAAACTAGGCTATGTGTAATAAAAATAATGGCACCTTGAGATTGCACTATTTTATGCATTATTTTGTATGCCATTTCATAGCCTGCACTTTAATCTCCAAAGAAACGATGTATGATGTCCCAGTTGTTCCTTATTATGAAACTTTTCCTAAGACAGGGCACTTAATTCTATTTTACTATACTGAATTAGTTTCTTGGAGGTGGATTCCTTTTTTTTTTTTTTTTTTTTTAGTTCTCTATTTCCTTAGCCATAATATTTTCTAGGATCTGGGAACTCCCTATCTTGTCTGTTTCCAACAACATAGTTTTAATTTAATGTGATGTAAGTCTCTTACTTGGTGATCAGCACATCTTATATCCTGCTCTAGCGATGAGGGCTCACTTACCACCTTCTAAAAAGAAATGCTATGAGTAAGATTTGAAGCCAGGAGTAAAAGGCATTCTGAAAGGAGATGTCCTGTGTGATGCAGCCTCTTGGAAATGGCTGATTCTGATATGAGACCCAATTGGATGTATTCTCCAGTTCTTTGACTTGGGATCTATCTAAATTTTTGAAACAGTTACACAGAAGGCTAAGTGAAAACTACTTAAAAAATAAAGATAGCCTGCCAACTAAGTCAAATTATCTTCGAGAAATACTAAATCTATAAAATTAGACTAGCAGTTTGATGACTACTGCCTACCATGATTTTACTTTTAATAGCAATACAGTTTTATTGGTGAAAAATGAAACAGGCTTTAGTAATGTTAACCTTTTGCAGCTTCCTACAAATCTTGGTTCAATACCTAAAGCTCACAAATTAAATGCATATCGTTCCTGTGATATCTGAAAAGAATTGTGAGCTTTAGAAACATACTGGTAATTTCTTAGGTCCATTGCCAAAGTATACTGGTCCATACTCAAAGCTATACCAAAAGGTTAGAAGTGTTTAAAATTTCGTTACGTGGTACCATGTCTGTTTACCTATGCTTATGAGCAACAATAAACTACTAGCTTATCTTCTGGAATTTTAATTGTTAACCTAATCAACTATTGCAAAGTGAAAAACACCTCCCGGTCACAAAACAGGGTACGGAAATAAATGTGTTGTTACCAGTGCTACTTGTTTTCTTTGTATTTCATGCATGAAAGAATATGGAGCTTTTGAGTCTTAAAGCACCGTACCGTGTGTTTTACATGTTATTGAAGTCCTCAGCCACCTTAAAAAGCAGATCTTATCCTCCATGGAGATGTTGAACTGAGGATAAGCAACACGTCAACGGTGTTAAACAAGGAAGTGACAAGTGTGATTTGACTCAGGCCTACCTCCTCTAAAGCTTATGTACCTCTGCTCCACTGTCCTAGGTCCGGTGACCTTAATATATGGGCAGTCATTCCATATGTCCACTAGAAGCAGTCACTGCCAAATCATTAATGTGAAGAGAAGTATGTAGACTTAAGATCAAGAAAAAGTGAGGCAAAACTTCTAGAACCTGTCATCTGAATCAGGTGTCTTCACAGCAATAAATGTAGCCTTAAACCACTAACAGGCTTATAGACACTACTGTGCACTGCTGGTCAATACAAATAATGTCCAGTTCCTGTGCCCCGCCAAGGGGGAATACTTCTCATGAAAATTCATTCCAGCCCCAAAACTAAATACTTGGAACTTCAGTGAAATAAAATACAAATAAAGTTTGCACTTTTTTTTTGCGGGGAGTGGGGGGGAGGTTTTTGCTATAGGACGCATGTGCTTGCCAGAAAGAGACAGAAAGCAAGAAATCACCCCCTGGGGGGATGGCCACACCACAATCCCTTCTCCATTCTCCTCTGGGGATCTTGGGCGCGCACACACTTAAGCCCAGCATGAGTTTAAGCCACTGGATCCAGAACTCAAACTGCAGTCGACTACATGGGAGTCCAGCAACATAGCCACTGCGCCAACTGCTGGTCCCCACGTTTATTAAAAATGTAACAAAGAATTGATCAAAATTCTCAGGAAGATCAAACTCCTCCTATATGTGCTTGTTCACGGCATGGTCAAGGGTGAGGGTAACCAGTTGTCCCAACACCATCACTGCATTCACTGAAACAGGTAACACAAGAAACAGGCTGCTGCTGGGCATCAGTCTTCAGAAGATCGATCACAATGGAAATCTTTGGTTTCCATATTCTCCAGGCACATTTGCTGAACAAAACATGGATTCATGTTATTAGAAAACAAAGGATATTGGGAACCAGCAGTTAGCGTAATGGCTATGTTGCTGGACTCCCACGTGGTCCACCGCGGTTCGCTTCCAAGACCTGGTGGCTTAAAACTCACAATGGGCGCATGTGCGTGCGTGCCCAAGATCCCAAGAGGAGAATGGAGGAGAAGGGATTGCGGCGTGACCATCCCCCCTGGGGGGGTGATTTCTCGCTTTCTGTCTCTATGTCTCTCTCTGTCTGGTGAGCGCACGCGCCCTCTAGCAAAAATCTCTCCAAAAAAAAAAGAAAACAAAGGATATTGGGGGCAGCAGAAGGCGTAATGGCTATGTTGCTGGACTCCCACGTAGTAAACCATGGTTCGAGTACGAGACCTGGTGGCTTAAACTCACGCTGGGTGGCAGTGCGTAAGTACCCAAGATTCCAGGAGAAAGGATTGTGGTGTGGCTATCCTCCCTGGGGGGTGATTTCTCAACTGTCTTTCCAGCGAGCGCACACTCACTCTAGGAAAACACACACAAGGATATTAGAGAATGATGTCTGGAATTGAGTTTCCAATGAGAGTCACTTCAATTATCACTTGGCCACTTGGAGGTTAATCAAAGCTTCTTGACATTGAAAAGAACCTCTTAACTTTATCCAGTCTTGAGAATTAGATTTTTTCTGCACATACTCAACCTGTTAAACAGCATGAAATGTTAATGACAGCAGTCTTTAAGGAGACAAAAACTTTCTTAGACATAGTCTGTATTTTATGTGCAGTTTCAGAGTGCTGGGTATTTGAGCAAAAAGTACAATATAAGACTGGAAAGGAAATGCGAATCAGGACAAACTTTCCAAAAAGAAACAACAAAATGACTTTCAACTTTCTCAACTTCTTGTGTGCTTTTCAAATTATTTTTTGCTCCCTTTCCTTTGTATTTAAAAGTCGATTTCTAATTCTTTTTGGTTTTTGAGAGGTTTTTGCTGTAGGGCACATGCGCTCACCAGAAAGATAGAGACAGAGACAGACATAAAGTGAAAAATCACCTCCCAGGGGATGTGGCCATGCTGCAATCCCAGTCTGGGACTTGAACCATGGTCAACTACATGTGAGTCCACCGGCATAACCATTATGCCAGTGGCTGGTCCCTAGATAACCAGTTTCTTTCTTTCTCTTCTTTCTTTCTTCTTTCTTTCTCTTTCTTTCTTCTTTCTTTCTTTTGATAACCAGTTTCTATAACCCTAGGCACTGCCACAGCCACTGCCCTCCATTCCCAAAGCTTCTGAAATGCTATTGTGTAGTCCTTGTAAGGGCCACAAAGGAATAAATGGCAAGGGGTAACATAGCATTCTGCACACAGCACAGAATAGTGGTGGGGCCAGCTCCATGGCAGAGAGGTAATGCCTTCTCAAGAGAAGCTCAAATCCCCAGCCAGCTGGTCAGTCTGAAACATATGAAGCATATAAGCAGGTGCCTAAGTGTCCATGGTTTGGTGGACTGGAGGAAGATCAGTGTGACCAAACCACAGAGGGGTACTCTTCTCCCTCCCTCTCTCTCTCTCTCTCTCTCTCTCTCTCCCCTGCACAAACATGCACTCCATCATAAATAAAGGAAAAACATTTTTAAAAGAACATTTTATTCATTTTTAAAAATAATTATTTTCTCTAACTTTATTTACTTTAGTTTGACCATAGAGGAGGGACAGAGAGAGAAGGTGAGAAAGCAAACTGCCAAGTTCAGGACTTGAACTGTAGTGGGCCCTGTTGGAGTCCAGTGCCCCTAACCACCACGCCACCTGCCAGTCCCCTCATTATTATTATTTTTATTTTATACAGGGCATGCACACTCACCACAGAGAAACAGAGAGGGAAAGTGAGAAAGCAAGCTGCCGGGTCTGGGTCCCACATAACCAACACAATCAAGAGTTAGAATGTGTCCATCATCCTAGCAGTTCACTTTGATCTTTCCTAGTCAGTCCTCATTATCTAGCCTCAGGCAACCACTGACCTGCTTTCTGTCACTCTATGTTAGATTTGCATTTTCTACATTTTTATATAAAAACAGTTGTGTAGAATATATTTTTTGAGGAAACCTCTCTCATTTTTTTGAGTATTTTGCCACAGGGTGTGTGTGTGCTCACCTGAGAGAAACAGAGAGTGACACAGAGAGAAGAAAAGTGAAAAATTACCTCCCAGGAGGTATGGTCATGCTGCAATTTTTTCTCCTCCATTCTCTCAGAATTTTTGGGCACACACATGTGCCTGGCATGATTTTCTTTTCTTTTTTTTTTTTTTTTTTTTTTTTTTTGAGGGTTTTTAGGGCATGTGTGCTTGCCAGAAAGAGACACAGAGAGACAGAAAGCTAAAAATCACCCCCTGGGGCCACAATCCCTTCTCCATTCTCCTCTTGGGATCTTGGACATGTACTCACATGCACCCGGCATGAGTTTAAGCCACCGGGTCCGGGACTCAAACCACGGTCGACTACATGGGAGTCCAGTGA